AAACTACTTACACCTATTTTTAAGTTGGGGAAGACATTTTTAGAATTTTATGTCACACCTGTTTATCTATATGGGGGGAAGGAAGGAAAAACAAGGAAGAGTACAGGAAATAAAAACACAGGTTACTCATGGAGGGGGCAACTATTACACCGAGCCAAATGCTAGTGAGAAAGAGAAATGAAATTTCTGCAATCCACACTTGGTTTTGTGATCTAAACACCCGTGACCAAGAAGTGGATTCTTCGTTTCCAAGACACCCTCTAAGGAATCCCTCTCCCTTGGGTCGGCCCACTTACCGCCAGAACTAGCTCTTTCCTGGGGTCCATACTCTCGGCGGCTGAACATAATAACAACAAATGTTTGTTATTAAATCCCCACTATAGTAGGCGGTACCAAGTGAGTACTTATCATATCACTACATCTCACAGTCCTCTGAAGTACATAACTGCACTGTCCACAGTCAGTGGCCTGAAAGACTCAGATTCACAGAAGGTAAAGGATTTGCCCAAATTCACACAGCTCTTGATAAAGCTAGGATAAGAGTCTGCATTAATCGTATGATTCTAGTCTTAGAAAGAGCTATATTACGGATAAAAACAGCACAGTATCAGTGTATACAACATCATTAGAGTTTTTTTGAATCAAATCTTCACAGATTGCACTCAGACCTTCCATACTAATCTGGCTTTCTAATTTGGAGACCTAATCGGATAAAAACAGTCCTACTTCTGCTTGGGAATCCCCTATAAAGCATTTAGCAGTATAGTGTCTCCCCCATTTTTCTGTCTCCCATATCACTGTTCCCCATACCATATCGCTATATTACTGTCTCTGGGACAGAAGACTAGGTTGGAAGACTGACACTGTGTTTTATCTTTAGGAATGAAGCAAGGATGGGGGATTTTAGGACAACATGAGGGCAGAAACCCTTTGGAACTTCAAGTGCTGGACGCTCGGTGACATTAATCATGGCTACACATTTCCTGTGTAGCTAGGGACCTACCCTAGCCTCTGAGGGCACCAATGCTTTTTCTCCTGCAAAGACTCAGTGTAAGATTGGGATAGAGATGAACACACAGGAAGCTGTACCAGAGAGTCATCCTTGCCCAAGTGCATTATGGGAACAGGCATGAGGAGCACCTGTTTCTAGGGAGATGCCTGAGAACATTGCATGTAGGCTAAGAGCGTTACTTCTAGACTAAGCTTGCAGAATGAATTAGAAACAGGTTATCCAGAGATTGTAGGAAAGAGCTCTTGTGACCACTGCTTTATGAAATTGGAAGCAGACTAGGCTGTAAGTGTGTGTGTGGGGGGGCAAGACTCAAGCACAGAAATTCCGGGGAAATGGAGGTGAGTGTGGGCTACACAGAAGAGCTCTAACAGTTTCTCTAGGAATTTCAGCGTGAGGCCCTAAGAGTCAAGGCTGATTAGCTCTCAGTGTTGGCTGGGTTCAAGCCTTTGAAATCTCCTCACAGATTTGCTAGCAGTTTGGGAGGGTGATATCCCCAATGACTCTGGAACTGCAAACTGCTGCCTGGATGTTAAGAGTGGTCCATGCAAGACCGAGAAACATGGGAGATTCATCCATTTCTATGTGCCAGGGACAAAAGTAGGCTACAAGGGAAAGGGAACCTAAATAAGAGGGGGATTTGTTGCATTTTGTCTAGAAATGGAGTGACAATATAAACTTTCCGTCAAAAGACAGAATGCAAGGTGGAAGGTGATGAGCAGGTCTGTGTAGAAGTAATCCACGAGCAGAAAGATAAAAGTTTCTAGTGTGGCCCATGGAAGTCAAGCAATTTTGGCTTCAGTCTCTTCCAGAAGAGGGTTGGGAGAAAAAGTCTCACTTCCCTAGTCTTACTTAAGTCCACTAAAGTAATGTACCATTCCTCATTCTCCATAGGACTCCCGCTCGGGGGAGGTGATAGATAGTAAAGAACTGACTGTCTGGAAAGCTTGTGTCGAGGGGGAACAACAACTAACCTCCATGGAAACAGTGCGTTTTCAGGCAGCGCAAAGACTAGGTGAAGTCGGAGGTGTCACGGGAAGACAAATCAGAAAATGTCACAAACCTTCTAGTCTGTGCCTAGCTCTGAGAAGCAGCCTTGTCCTTCCTCTGTGTTTCTACGTCTATGCTTGGCCTTTGGACTATTTAGGGGAAGAGGAGATTGGAGGTGGAGAAGGGATGTGCATAGGACTCTATCCTTGGTCATTGCTCATACTGGGAAAACAGCCCCAAGCTTTTCATGACTCAGAAGTTTGGGAAAGGATTAGCCTGCCGCTGGTGGGAAAATGATGGCTTGTCCTCACTCAGCAAACATGTCATAAGAGTGGAGCATGAGGTACACCTGCATATATCCGGTGCACATCCTTCCTGTGTGTGCTGTTTGGGGTGAGTCTGCTGAAGTCAACATAAATCAACCCAGGATGCCCTGTGGATCTCCAGCCTCCCTTGAGTTACAGCTGAGAGACATTGCCACACCACAGCCCATCCATCTGATGAAGTCATCCTATGGGATTTTAAAACTCCCAAACAGAATACTAATATGGTATGTAAGTACAAAACTCTTTCAGTAACTTTCTGAGAATCTGGAGGTGTTTCGTTTGGTGAAAATATGCTTTCTTACAAAAGGATCACTGTGGCCCTCAGTCCAGGATGCATTGTGCCCTATGGCACCCAATGGAAATGAAGGACTCTCAGGACCAAAGCTTCAGAAACCTCGTATAAGTTTCCGTGTTGGGCTAAACACACTAGATCTTTGCATAAAGTTGAGGCATGGCTCTTAGTTTTTCCCACTTGCAGTAGGTCCTTTGATTAGGTTAATAAATGAGTAACTGCCCTTTTTATAATAACTGGTTAGTATTCTTTTTGTCATATACTTTAGAAACATTATTTAATTAAATATTTCCAATAATACTGCAGGGCAGTATTATAATTCCAAGTCATAAGGACTACTGCTGAGAAGAATGAAAACTGAGTGATTGCCTCAAGCCAGTGAACCCAATTAGCATCAAAACCAGGCTGTGAGCTCACTTCTATCTGCCTTTCCTTTGTAATTTTCCTTTATAATTGACTTTTCTCTAGCAATTTCACATCTCTTGACTCCAAGAAAGTAAGTCCCTATTGCTTCTCTTTTTAATATAATTGGCCCTGCAAATCTCATAGGGAGTGGCACTATTAGAAGGTGTGACTTTGTTGGAGTGGGTGTGGTCTTGTTGGAGAAAGTGCATCACTGTGGGGGTGGACTTTGAGGTTCCCTTTGCTCGGGATACTATCTATTGTGTCAGTTGACTTCCTGCTGCCTTCTGATCAAGATGCAGCCAGCACCACGTCTGCCCGCATGCAACCCTGCTTTCTGTCATGAAAATAACAGACTGAACCTCTGGAACTATAAGCGAGCTACCTCAATTAAATGTTTCCTTTATAAGAGTTGCTGTGGTCATGGTGTCTCTTCACAGCAATAAAAACCCTAATTAAGACACCCTGGCAGCTAAGTTTCTAATAAAATTTAAGTTGTATTGTGCTCTTCACAGAATCAGTCATTTTCCCAGTTTAATCTAAGAGTTCACCCCATCCGGTCATCTCTTCATTCAGACATGGGCTGTTTGATGATACCCTCCTTTGGTTCAGGCAATGAGATGCGGTGGTGATCAAGACACCGCTCCTGCTCTCAACGTTTGTTTGTTTTTGTCAATCAGTGGAAGTGTAAGCAAATAATCCATGAGACATCCACAGAGGCCAACACTGAGAAGACCCAGCAATGGGTGAGGTTAGGAAAAGATTTGGGTACAAAGGAAGACACTGAGTATCTAGTGGCTCATCTGGGTCACGTGAACTGGAAAAGCAAGGATGAGAAGAAAGGAGGCTGTGAAGAAGGAGGGGAAGGGCATTCAAGTCGAAGGGATGGCAGCTGCAAAGGCACAGAGACTAGAGTACGCATGATGACTGCGCACCTGCCTCTTCTTCCCCACTGTGGTAAAATGCCGGAACCACCACAGGGTAAGAGAGGAGGTCTTATAGTGAAATACAGAGATGTGGTTACCCATCCGTAGTAATGCTGCATATTTCCCTCTGATGGCTTTGTCGACATGGCTGTAAATATGATCCTGCCTGTACGCCTGACACGTGCCGGCCAGTGAGGACAGGCCTGTTCATGACTGAGCGCTCAGGAGATTACAAAGAAAGGCAACTAAATTCGCTTCAAGTGTTTCTTGAACTAAGAGGTGACCTGTTCAACATCCGCTATATTTTGCTTGTGCAAATGTGTTCAGTCACTTGACAAAGCAGGAGCCTCTGAATTAGGATTGTATTTAAGTAAAAGCTGGGGGGAAACAGGTGATAGATGGTAGATACAATCAGTGGTTCTTAACCTTCCTAATGCTGTGGCCCCTTAATACAGTTCCTGTGTTATGGTGACCCCCCCCCACCCATAAAATTATGTTGGTTGTTACTTCATGACTGTAATTTTGCTACTGTTATGAATCATAATGTAAATATCTGTTTATTTGTTATTAGGTAAGCTCTATGAGAGGGTCATTCGATACTCAAAGGGGTTGCAACCAACAGACTGAGAAACGCTGAGATGATAGAAGATAGATAGATAGATAGATAGATAGATAGATAGATAGATATATAGGCAGATAGGCAGACAGAAAATAAATAGATACGCAGATAGATATATAGGTTTAAATTATACACACACACATACGTATACATGCACATATATATGGAGAGAGAGAAAAAGAGATTACCTGCTAGCACAGTGACCCAGTAACATCTTCCTCTCCTCTGAGGAATTTGAGGTTCAGATGAAGAGTGTCTTGCCACTTAATGAATAGTTTGTATACATTTTTTTTCTTAATGTCCAATGCACACCCTGACAAAGACAAGTTTGCTGTCAATTATGGTCATTCCGAACAGTGTGGCAGTGACCTACAGAGATGCTGCTCCCTTCAAAGAGGCCTTATCCTTCCTACTCACATCTTTCTCTCCCCTCCAGGGAAAGAAATATTTCCTCCAATCCTGTTTTGAAACTGGCACCTTCCCCATCTCGTCTCAGCCTAAGACTACCTTTTACAAGGAGACTTTCGGGATCAGCATTTTCAAGGAGACCTTCCATTCCTCCCGCTGCCCAGTTACGCTTCATTGTGCTGCCTTGTTGTGTTCCATCTGTTGCTTACTGCATTGATATCATTTCACTGCTGTGTGTTTGCTTCATTGTCAGCTGTATGTCTGCTCTAAGACTTCAGGAGGGTGAAGAACTTGGGAGCCATCATCAAGAACTTTCCATAGGCACCCTTAGCACTGTCTGGCACAAACTATCTGTGTGCCGTAATACAAGAGTCAACAAATCATGCTTTGCAAGGCTGTTAAAGCTCATAAATTAGGGAGGACATTTTCAACCTGACTTACTCTTACCCTATATATAACCTTACGAAATTTTAACCTCTGGGTCGATGAGATGGTTCATTGAGTTATGGTGCTTGCCAACATGCCAGACAATGCAAATTTGATCCCCCAAACCCACATAATGGAAGAAGATAAATGACGTCAACGATTTTCCTCTGGCCTCACCATACCCACTGTGGCACATATGCCCTCATGCACACCCTCATGCGTGCACACATGTAGACATACTCCTAAAGGAATAAACGGTTTAATTTTTTGTCTTAGTGTCTGCTTGCTCATCTCCTAAATCATACATGAAAGCTTTAATATCTAATGCTTTAGAATGTGGCAGCATTTTAAGGCAGAGCTTTTAAAGAGATTAAGGTAAGATGAGATCATTAGGATGGAGTCCAGTCTAATATACATTAGTCAGCCTTTTGCTGCTGCAACCAAAGGCCCGGGGTAATGAATTTAAAAGAAGGTTTATTTGAGCTCAAGGTTTCACAAGTTGTAGTTGATGGTCAGGAAGCCTTTGCTACTTTAGCATAGCATCGTGGCAGGATGTATAAGACAGGGAAAGCTGATAAAGAGGACATGTCAGGGTTATATCATTGCTTCCCAAGGCACACCCCTGGTGACCTAGCTCCTGTCACCAGATCCCAACTCTTAAGAAGTCTACACACACTCTCTCTCAGTACCAACACAGTCCTGGCACCAAGCCTTTACAATGTGGACCTTTGCAGGTCACCCAGGTGTTTAAAAATAAAAACAGAAAACTGGACACAGAAATATACAGAGAGAAGAGCATATGTAAACACAGGACTAAGACACCTGAGACGTAAAGACTGTCAGAAGATGTGCTACCGAAGCCTGGGTCTTAGACTTAGAGCCTTCAATAATGTGAGGGAAAAAAGTAAACCTATGACTTCTACAACATTTTAAATTTATCATTATCATCATCATCATTGTTATTATTGGTGTGGGGGGCATGAACACACATGCTTGTATATGTAGGCATGCATGTACCATGGTGCCCACGTGGATGGAGGTCAGAGAACAACTCTCAAGAGTTGATTTTCTCTTCCATTTTTACTTGGCTCAGGTTGCCAGGCTTGCATAACAAGCACGTTTACCCACTGAGCTTTCTCAGTGGCCCAAATCTGGGTTTTTGAGCCGCCCAGATAGTGATACTCTTTCAGAATTCCAGTAAACTGATGCATTGCTCCAAGCCATATTCCATCATTTCTAAAGTAAGGACAATGACAGTAACTGAATGAGACCATATGATCAAGGTGTATGATAATGTAAGCACATGAACCAATTTAAGATATTACCAGTTGTGACTTTCATCCTAGAATCTAACTCTTTCATAGTTTAAAGTTAGGACATTCATAGTCATGGCATGTTTCAAACAGAAAGTCATTTGGAATTATGCACACCCACAAAATTTCAAAGTAATAGGCCTACTTTTGGTGTAGGAGGCCCTTCTGTATTTGTGTTGCTTTCATTGGTTATTAAAGAAACTGCCTTGGCCTAGTTGATAGGGTGAAACTCAGGTAGGCAGGAAAGACAGAACAAAATTCTGGGAGAAATAAAAGCAGAGACAGGCGGATGCCATGAAGCTCCTGCCTGAGCCTGCCACTGCAGGTGGTTAGAATCTCCCCTGGTAAGCCACAACCTCGTGGTGAACACAAATTAATAGAAATGGGTTAGATCAAGATGTGAGAGTTGGCCAAGAAGAGGCTAGATATAATGGGCCAGGCAATAATTTAATTAATATAATTTCTGTGTGGTTATTTCGGGGGCTCAGCTAGCTGGGTGACAGGATGCAGCCTGCTCCTCTTACTATATACTTTAACGTTCAATGATGTTGTATGAATTAGTGATGACGAGTGCATTTGTAAAACGTAGCATATACACTGACCTCTCTTTCTCCATAGGCAAGCCCCTTCAAGCTCTATAATATATTAAAACCTTGCCTAATGAAGAAGGGAATTTTAGGCTACAATAAAACAGAAGATATACCGTATCTCCTCACCCACGGTATGTTTTTAACTGTCAACCAAGTCACTCATCTCTGTGAAGAAAACATTGCTAATTCCTTTCCTAATTAAGCTTTGGTCCTGTCTCAAGTTCTTCCTCTCAAACTAGAATCCTAGTCCCTAGATGTTTTACAATAACTCTGTGCAAACAATAGCAAAGACGTGGGGCCATCCCAGACCCCCTCTTCCTGGAAGAGCTTCCTGCTTCTCAAAGGTGTGCTCTGTCTGATGCCACACTGCCACCTCCAGAATTTACATCTCGCATTTCCTGTTGATAATGTCTGCAAGTCAGAAACAAACACATGCGCTCACACACACACACACACACACACACACACACACACACACACACACACACGTCAGCGGAAGGAAGCTTGGTGTTTAGAAAGACTCCTTAATTTATGGAACACATGTGCAGCTATTATTAACTCTTATCTTTGCCATCATGCAAAGATATTCCCATAGGGCAGTTTCTGTCTGAGGATATAAACACCGAGGTATCCACTGTACTTTGCAGACACACCTTTGGATTTAACAGCTCTGTTTACTGCTTCCCAACTGTCTATCGACAAAATGAATCTGGATCTCCAGAGTCACTTCACCTGCAGGAGAAGAAGCTGATTAGATGCAAGCATGTGTCATGAAATCATCCCAAAGTAGCTTCTTCTTAAGACTAGGGAGACTAGACTGGAAACAGGAAACACACATTATGGTTGTTGTTGCTGTTGTTTTGAAATTTTCTTGAAAATTGACAATATAAACTTGGGCTTTTGTTGGTTTGTTTTTTAATTTTTTTGAAACAGGGTTTCTCTGTGCAGCTCTGGTTGTCCTAGCTTGCTCTGTGGACCAGACTGGACTTGAACTCACAGAGATCTACCTGCCCATGCCTCTTGAGTGCTGGAATTAAAGCCATGTGCCACCACTGCCCGACTGACAGCATAAACTTTTATACATTGCACACAGCCAAGTCGCTGTTTCCGTTTAGCTTGAGCTAAACTTAGATTCAATGCACTGAAGGAATGCAGGAAGCATAATTTTATACATCTATAACATCCCCTTATCTCATATGGAGGATTTTAGACATCCTGCAAAGGTTTAAACACAAATGAGGAAGTAACTGTCATTTCTGAAGAGCAGGTGAAAAGGCTATTTTCACTTCCTTCTTTTGTATGGTTTGATATGTTAATATCAGATTATTAAAATTATATTCTCTCATTTCCTTTGTTTGTATCTATTTATTATACTAATTACTGTCATTACACTCTTTGTATAATAATATATTAATTTTAAGCATGCACTCCTGTACTGAAATATTTCAGAGTTGTTTACCACCTAATAAACAAATTAGACTTCTCTCTCTGCTACATGTTCTCAATTGTCACTACTCAAGACCACAACTTTCTAACTACAAGTCCCCATCCTGGCCTGTGAGGGCCTTCACACCTCAGAGTACTGACAGTGCGCTCAGGACACTCATCGCTAGCCACAGTGTGGAGAACCCAACAGAAAGCAGAATAATTCAGTTCTGAATCCTGAGTCTGACTCAGAGCCTGAACTGTTGAGAGGCAACTTTTGTCTTTTCTGCATTCGTCTTAAGTTAATGAGACACACAAGTCCTTAAACACGTTCTTTCTGCCAATTTGGAAGGGGGAACAATTGCTTAAATCTTATAAGAACATCAGTGTTGTTAAATTAGGAAGTTCACTTTACTCAGCCTTTAATCTTTGAGAACCGTTTGGGCTGCCTGAACTCTGTCCAATCTCATATGTTGGTTCTGTCCCTCAGCGCATTTACCTGGTCAGTCCCAACCTTTGCCTTAAATTCAACCACATTGCCCTTTTCTGCAAGGTCACACACAGGGAAATCCTAGACCTGACAGAACTTTAGGGGAAGATCAGTGACATCATCCCCTTTCCTCCAACATCCTTCTTATTTGGGTAAAGAGTGGGCCTCTTTGTCAGAGCTGTACAGCCGAGGATAAGCAGTTCAATGCTTCTCTGGTGTACTTACTCATCCTCCGTACAATCCATTTGTGCATGCTCTGAGTTCTTTTTCCCATCAATTAAAAAAAAAACTACTTACAGGTTAGCATACCAAGAAATGGGCTTTATTGTAGTATTTTCATAGATATGTAAATATTATTGTTTACATATTCTGAGGCAGGCCTTGGAGAATCTGACCTATAGATAAGAGAAACACACAAACACAAACACACAACATGTAAAGGAAAGAAAGCATAGGGTTTAGAGAAGCCCCTTCATGGAAAGTGCACATTGTTATTGATAACTTTTATCTTTATCATCATGTGAGAATATTCCCACAGGGTAGGTTTTCTCTGATACCTACTCAGCCTGTCTTGCCCCATCCTACCATCTTACATAAAAGGCCCAGAAAGGTTGCCATCTCCTAGGTTCCAAGTATTATGAATATACACCCTCTCTTAGACTAAGCCTGTGCTCTGCTCGACCCTTTGTCCTGGGACAGTGACTCTGGGGCTAGCACTGGGGAAGATTTTTGGGGAATGCCTTAAGAGTATGGATTTGTTAGAGAACTGTTCGTTATGAACTTAAGATCTAGAAGAGAAATCAAGCACAGACTTACAAGGCTCCAGCGGCACCCCTGCCAACACAGCCTTGCTTGCTGGTTCTTCCGGACCTCTGCTCAATTGCCTTGCTCATCAAATTCCCAGCCCTGGCTATTTTAGCATCATTTATCACATTACACAGAAAAAACTCTTGACCAGTGTCTGCATTTGTTGTTTTCTATTTGCCCCTCTCAACCGTGGATCATCCTTGTTGATTTGCCAGATTATCCACTGCTCTGTCCACTGTGAAGGAAACGCTGCAAGAACAGAATAGTGCCTCCATCCCCAGAGCCTGGAACAGTGTCTGGAATACAGTGGACGAGCCCTCATAAATATTTGTGGATGAGAATTCCTCAGAAATTAGCCAATGTTACTTCAAAAGAGAAATCTAGTAGCTTAGACCGCATTTTAAGAAAGCTGGGGAAATCAAAAATTAATTTAAATATTTAAAGCTATAATTTATTTTTATTCCACTTTCTGATGACATATATGTGAACCTGACCATAGCATATTTTGCATTCAAGGCTGTATACTTATGTTACCTTTGTTCATAATGTTCTGGGCAGTAGATTTTCCATTCCGAGCTCCCCAAACACTGTATTACATCCCG